ATAATGATAACAAAGATGATATCAACATTATTAATGATTATGATAATGATAATGATAATGGTAATAATAACAATGGTAATTGATGCTATCAATGATGAAAATGGTAATTGCAATGATAATATAGATAATAAGAACACTGATAATGGTCTTGATTATAACAGTGATTATAGTGATAATAATCTCATTACTACTTTTACTACTACCACCACCTACGATGATGATAATGATGATAACAAAAATGATAATGACTATGGTGATTGTAATAATGATAATGGCAATAATAATCAATAACAGTTATTATTATTTACAATGATGATAGTGATGTTGATTTTAGAAATTATAACATTAACAATGATAGGGATAATAAAGAAATAGCAAAAAACAATTGTATTAGTAGTAGTAGTAGTAGTAGTAGTAGTAATGATAATAATAATGATAATAACAATAACGAAAATTGTAATGAAAATAATAATCGTCATCGTCATTATTATTATCAGCATTGCCATTATATTGTTTTAATGATAATGATGATGACAATAATAATAATTGTGATGATCCTAATGATAACAAAAATGAAACTGATACTGATAATGATGATAATAATTGTGATAATGATGATAATGATCATATTAATGATGATAATGATAATGATAATAATGATAGTAATGATAACAACAATAATGATAATCATAACAAATATGATGGTAATGATAATAACACTAATGAAGATAATGATGATGATGATAATGATATTGATAATGAAAGGAATAACGATAATGATCATGATAATAATGATAATAATTTTGATTATAATGATAATAATAATGATAATAAGAGTAATAACAATGATAAGGATAATGAAAACAATTTTGATAATGATAATGATAAGAATAATGATAATAGTAATAGCGATGAGGATAAGAATGACTATAATGATAATAGTAGTAGTAGTAGTTGTAACAATAATGGAAATAAGAAAAGTAATAATAAAGATCATGATTATAATGATAATGATAACAACAATAACAATAATAATAATTATAATGATAATGATAATAATAATAATAATGATATTAATGATAATGATAACATTGTCATCACAACAATGATGTATTGGGTTAAACGAATAAAATAATAGACAAATATGTTAGAAATTATGGACAGAAAAAACTGGCAAATTATTCAGTATCTATGTGCTCAGATGGATAGACTAATGAATGTATAATTAGACGAATGGATAGAGAAAATGCTTTAATTATTTCGTATACTAATCAGAATGTCGAGCGACAATATTACTCAATTAATTTTTTTTTCTTTTTTTTTTAGAATATTTAAGTAGTTTTTAAGAAAAATATAAAGCGAATAATCATAACTTGGAAAATCTTTGTTTTGTTGAATTCTCTTTAAAGAAGAAGAAGAAGAAGAAGAAGAAGAAGAAGAAGAAGAAGAAGAAGAAATATGAAGGATCTTATACATTCACTAAATACTATCCTGCTGTAGGAATGTTATATTACGTAGCTGTTTTGTCCAATTCCTGTTGCTAATCATTTCTTTCACAATTCCTTCAAGCTATGTTTAGCTACGTCATTGAATAGTATGCCGTGTCCTCATGCTATGATGTTATTATATTTTATTTGTTAGTTATATCCGTTTTCTTGCTTTATCCAGTGAAATTTTGCTCTATTATTGTTAGGTTGTAAAATAAGTACTTTGTTATTTTATGAATTTTTGTTTTTTATGTTGTAAAATGTAATAATTTGAAATAAAAACGACATATTTTGTTGAATTGTGATACAGTTTTTAAATCTTGTTCTGTAATATAAAATGTTTTGTCATCTTGTAAAACTATATTTTAAGTTTAATGGAATGTGGATTCATGCTTTACATGTTATTTGATATCAAACGTTGTTGTTTTATGTTGAATCTTGATGTAATACACGCAGTAACTTTATGAATATGGTTATTCACAATTATTTTGTGCTTTAAGTGGAATGTCTTGCGGTTATTAAAATGCCAGAATATCCTTTTAGTGACACTATGCAAATGGGAAAACTTTCGTAGTCATCCCAACCGTTCTAATCCCTATAGAAAACGGTCATTTGAAAAAGAAAATGGAAATTTGTGTTATGAAAATGGCGACTCATTGGTTCGGTTTTTTCATTTTGTATTCACAATGTCCCTACCTATGTCTGTACCTACCTATCTATCTATCTATATCTATATCTATATCTATCAATCTATCTATATCTATATCTATCTATCTATCTATCTCTATCTATCTATATCTATCTATCTATCTATCTATCTATCTATCTATCTTATCCTATATCTATATCTATCTATCTATCTATCTACTATCTATCTATCTATCTATCTATCTATCTATCTATATGTAATCACTATCTGTATATACGTATGCTATATTATTGTTAATATTATATATATATATATATATATGTATATACGTATATATATATATATATCCATATGTTGTGTGTATGTATATACTATATATATGTGCTATGTAAATGTGTGTGTGTAGTGTGTGGTCGTGTATGTGGTGTGTGTGTGTTGTATCTGGCATGGGCGTTTTTAGTGCAACGTTAAACATTCAATAATTCTTATATAATATTTTACACTTATATATGTCTTGCCTTTGAAATGACTGCCAGAAATAGTTAAGCTGCTGTAAAGTTTTCAATCAACTTTCCATTAAAGTTTTCTTCAAGTGCAATTAACATCACACATTCATAACTGTATTCACATATTCCCTTTCTTACATTAATGGACTAAGTCTAGGATACATTACCGTCAAATTGCAGATAATTTAGGACCATTGTACTAGTAACGTCTCAAAATATATTTCCTAAGTTGGTTAGTCAGTTTGCTAAAAATAATGATAATAATAATAAAATAAATAGATAAATAAAATGGAAAATAAAATAAAGAAATTAATAAAATGAAAAATGAAATAAATGAATAAAAACGAAGAAAGAATGACGAAGAAGGAGGTATAATGATAATAATGATAATAATGATGATGATAATAATAATAAAACATGCGAAGAAGGTAAGGAACAAGGTATTCGAAGAAAAACCAAACAAAGACATTTTGAATTTTAATGAGAAACCGCCGGGCGCCGCGTGAGGGCCGCAGAGGAACGCCAAGACGAAGGGAAGAAGGACGTCGGGGAGCCCCCCTCCCCCCCTCCTCGCCCTCGTGTTCGGCGCCTCCAGCAGGACCTCACAGGGCGCCGACGGAGAGAGTCATCCATCACGAGTGGTCCTGAAGGTGCGGTTCGGGTCCGTCCTGTGGTCCTCCGGTTCTCTCCGGCGCCGAGGGAAGCTGGGGAGGCTCAACGAGTCCTTCGAACTCCTTGAGAGGCTACGAGGGGCTCGCGAATCCTCCCCCCAGTCCCTTCGGCAGGAGGAAGGCTTCCGTGGGAGCGTCTTAGGCCTTCTCGACGGCGGCCTCGTCAGCCTTCACGACGTAGGTGTAGGGGAAGTTGAAAGAGTAGGGAGGGCGTGGGTAGTTGTAGGAGTAGGTGAGGGGAAGGCCATGGTGCGGGGGGGGGGGGGGGTCGAAGACTCAATTAACATCCGTATTGTAAAATATATAAGACAAAAAAAATGTTTTATAGTCTTTAGTAACATTATGAATATCTAATTTCAAAGTGAAAAATGTAAAAGGAAAAAGATTGTTTTATAGTCTTAAGTAACATTATGGATATCTAACTTCAAAGTGAAATATATAAGAAGAAAAGATTGTTTTATATTCTTCATTAACAATATTGTAAAAAAAATGTAAATCAGGGAGCAATATGAATTATGTAAGAGACATAGTTTTGTTTTCGTGATTTTTAAATACACCCACACCCACACACACACACACACAAACACATACACACAAACACCCATACACACACACAAACACCCCCCTCCCACCCACACACACACACCCTCCCACACCCACACACAATCAATACAATTCAAAATGCCAAAGAATCCTACTGTAGGAGTAGACGAGGGGGACGGTGCTGGCGGGGGTGTCGGCCTTGACAGTCTTGACGACGGGGTAGGTGACGAGGGGGCTGGTGTACAGAAGCTGAGGGTCGGCCTCGGGAGTGGGCAGGGCGGCAGCGCAGGCCACGAGGGCGAGAACCAGCTGTTGGGGAGAGATCAGATGTTTTTTTTTTCTGATGACTTATTTGGGGGGGGGTAGGGGGGGAGTTATCTAGGGCGGGCGGGAGGGGGAGGAAGGGAAAGATATTGAGGAAAAAGGAATAGACATAGAGAGAAATAAGAAGAAGGAATAGACATCGCGAGGGAAAATAAGGAAAAAAGCAAGACATAAGGGGGAAAAAAGGAAGATACAACGAGGGTAAAAACAAAAGAAAAAAAACAAAACAAAGGAAAACCGTTAAAAAAGACACCAAGAGAAAAGACAAAAAAGGAAAAGACACAAGAAGGGAAAAGAATATATAAGATTTTGGTTTTCTGTTAAGTTGAGTGCTTCCAGTGTGATTAATTTATCTTAAATCACTGCAGAGCGACAGTGAGTGAGTAAATCCTATATAAAAAACTAACTTGTAAAAAAGAAAACAAAATCTATAGAAGGATTTAAACTACCATTTGTTTAAATGGATTGCAGTCTCCTATGCATAAGCCAAGTCAAAAAGAAAAATAAGACAAAAAAATCAAAAATATAATATCTAGATTCCAAAAATTATTCCAAACAGACTAAGCCTCTTGGAACAGTTCATACGAAAACTGCCTTTGCTTCTGGAGAAAACCAACTCCTCTCTTTCAATGTCTTTTTCTTCTAAGACATTAAGCCAATGAAAGTATCAACTCTTGCAACACAATGATAAAAAATAAAGACAAGAGATTTCTACTTACAGCAACCTTCATTTTGGATGAGTTTGTGATGAAGCCTCTCACTGGAAGACTGATGCCCGAAACCTCAGAGCCTCACCTATTTATACCCAGGATGGTCCAGC